TCCGAGCAGATAGCCACCGCGCGCAGCGTGTTGGCTGGCTGCGTATATCTGAAGCTCCTGCGTACCGTCTCAAAATACGTCTTACAGGCAGCTGGAAAACAATTAAATGAGAGTGGTATGAATAAAAAATCAAACGCAAGTCACAGTAACAAGGAAGGAGAAAACATTAAAACAAGTCACTTACACACAATGTGGTCTTTATCAACATCGTGCAAATCTGGATTTGCTGATATGGCTCCGAGCAAATAGGAGGTCTGTGAAAACAAAATGTACAGCTATGATCGGTATTCATCCGTATCCATTGCCTTTTACCGCAGAATTAAAGCATATTCTTTAAATCTTACCCTTGCTCCGGTTCATAGCGCCTGCAACTAGTCTCCGAGTTGTGAAGACGGCGTACTGCTTCCTGTGAATCACAAAAAATACACTTTAATAAAGCTTGTTCTTGCAAGGCTACTATTAGCCGTAGCTTTAGGCTAGGCTGTTATTAGCCGTAGCTTTAGGCTAGGCTGCTATTAGCCGTAGCTTTAGGCTAGGCTGCTATTAGCCATAGCTTAGGCTAGGCTGCTTTTAGCTTAGCAGGCAGTAATCGAACATATATTTACCGCTAGCATCTCTTCTTTGAGTTCGTCTTGTTCAATGCAGAGTGGCCATCGCGTCCAAGAGGAGTTTTACCCCGAAATCCCACATACTCCGCTCCAGACCGCCTGCACAAAGCAAAGCATCCATCCTCCGCTGTGGCTGCAGACCGCGCCGCTCTGAGTTTCTTCTTCTTCTTCTTCTTCTTCTTCTTCTTCTTCTTCTTCTTCTTCTTCTTCTTCTTCTTCTTCTTCTTCTTCTTCTTCTTCTTCTTCTTCTTCTTCTTCTTCTTCTTCTTCTTCTTCTTCTTTTCTATTATGGCGGATCACAAGCAACTTTAAGGTGCATACCGCCACCTACTGTACATGAGTGTGTAGTAGCGTTACTTCACATCTATTAGATTCTATTTTTTAATTTTGTATTCTTAAGATACATAAACAATGCTTTCCTTAGTTTATGAATATCTGTTATGTTTCCTTCATTTCCTAATATTCCTTTAAGATTCCATTCATGCCCTATACTTCTAACTATTCTCTTTAATTCTTCCCTTTCGTGTTCATACAACTTACAGTTCATCAGTATGTGTTCTACATTTTCTTTTTCACCACATTTCTCACATTTATCACTATTTTTCCTCCCTATTAAATAAAGTATGTCATTTAAGTAGGTAGGACCTATTCTTAATCTACTAACTATTATTTCTTCTCTACTGTTTCTTTCATTAATGCTTCGAATTCGAACTGACTTTTGCACTTCATATAATCTTCTTCCTTTCCTATCTTCGTTCCATATTTTTTGCCATTCCACCATTTCTTTACTTTTAATAAGTGATTTCCCTTCCCCTTTTCCAAAAGGAATTGAAATTGTTATTTCCCCCTCTAAAGCCCTTTTAGCTAATTTATCTGCCTTTTCATTCCCTTTTACTCCTTCATGTGCTGGTACCCAACAAAACCAAACATCAATGCCACCCCTATATAATCTAAATAAAATATGAAGATTTCTAATACCAAATCTTTTCTATTATTTCCTTCTCCCTTAATACTTTCCACTACTGCTTTAGATTCTGTGCACACCACCACCCTGATTGGTCGAATCTCCTCCACCCATTGCAAGCTTAATATATCTGCCACCATTTCTGGTGTAAAAACCGACAATTGATCTGATATTCTTTTATGAATACATTTTTTAAACTCTGGGATATATATTCCTATACCCACATAACCTTTTAAATTCTTAGAACCATCTGTATGAATTTTAAGGTAATTATTATATGTAGTTCTTAAATAAATATCAGTTTTTATCCCTATTTCATTTAAATTCCAATCATTTTTCATTGTATTAATTTGCAAATCTACATTAACCTCAGGTATTAGCCATGGAGGAATAACGCTAATTGGGTTAAATTGAGCTATTTCCTTGTCTTCTAATCCATACTTTTTAATCCATTTACTAACCATCCATCCAAATCCATTACTTTGGAACTTCACATATTCCCAGCAATTATGCAGAATAGTTGAATTCACATGATCATCTATATTACTTTCAATTTTCATCCAATATGCTAAAGCTAATTTAATTCTCCTCATTTCAAGTGGAGTTTCCCCACTTTCAATTAAGAGAGTATTAATAGGTGTTGTTTTTATTTCTCCTGTACATATTCGTAAAGCCCTACACTGTAATCTTTCTATTTTTTGTAATGATGTTTTAGCTGCTGCTCCATATATAATGCTGCCATAATCTATTATTGCTCTCATGAGAGCCCTGTATATGCTTAACAACCCCCCCCGCTCTGAGTTTCTTGGAGATCGTAGAGAGCATGCGCGAGATGAACCAGGTTTTCCGCGGATCAATAAAAATAATTAAAAATTCGTTCATTTTTTTTAAATCAAGGCCTTAATTGGCACAAAAATTATTTAAATATGTTTATCGAAGTATTTATAATTCTTTAATAAAAAATGCTCATAAAAACAATTTCGTCAGATATATTATATCGCTCCAGGCGGAGAAAAAGCTAGAGGATATATATATACGTTTATATGTGTGTGTGTGTGTGTTTACATACATACAGGAGTCATGGAACTGTGCTTACAGCTCCTTCATATTTCATGTACACTAATAACTTGTGTACATGGTTCTTGTTGATGGCATTAAAATCATTTTTAATAGCATTAAAATAGCATTAAATTAGAGTCACTCATTCCTGTATGAACCCTGTGAGCGCTTAATTTAATATGACATATTAAAAAAATCCCACCATCATCCAGCATATGTTCAGTTTCTGCCCAAATATATATATATATATATATATATATATATATATATATATATATATATATATATATATATATATATATATATATATATATATATATATATATATATATATATATATATATATATATATATATATATATATTTGTAGATTTTTGTAACGGGGATAAGGATAATTCAAAACTGCTTTTTTTGAATGAACTTGTTCTCTACTCCCAAACTCAGCATCTCTTTTCATTCCTGTAATAAGAAGTTTCTTTTGAATGGATTTGATTAAAGTTTAAGTCCCTTGGTATAAAATAAATATTTTGATGGAGATGAGAAATCTGCTTCCTCGTTGGTGAATAACCAATAGTTTGGATCCAATCATTTAAATAAACGGTGTTAGATTTTTTTTTTTTATATATATATAAGAATTGTGCTATAATTTCTAGTCACCGATCTGTTTCTGCTATATTTTAACTTGACGAACCGGAATTTGTCGATGGTCTTTTTCCTGTTTGGTGCGATTGCAATTGCGGATCTTGACCTGGCCGGACCTTATGACCACAGTGTACCAATCTTCTGATGGCTACTTACAACAGGATAATGCGCCATGTTATAAAGTGAATCATCTCAGACTCATTTCTTGAAACTTTTTCACTTAAGTAATTGTGAATTGAGCATATTGACAGGCAAAATTTTATTTTTTATCTTAAATGCAATTTTTTTTTCTTAAAATAATTACTGCTCTAAATGTATTGCTCTGTCAGCTAAAGATCTGTTTTGGTCTCTATACTTTAATTAAATAAATCAATTCAAGCTAAAATGTAAAAGTCTATACTGAGCCTGATCTCTTTGTATCAGAGATTTTCTTACCTTTTAGAAAAATGTCACTTGGAGTAAAACCCCCCCTGCAACCCTGATTTGCATTTGCATAGCTCACAGCATGTTCATTTACATGGTAAAGCCTCCCCTAGAATTCCATGGGGGGGAGGCATGGGGGGAACACTGCCTAAGAAAGTCTACGTCAATTTCTGACAATTTACGGGAGTTTTTGGCGAAGCCTGCAAATTGCCGTAAACTGCCGCTAACCTGAAGTTCCACGACAATCTACAGTGCCGCATATTGACGAAAATCCCACTTTTCATGCAGTGTAAGGAGTAAGTACAGATATTTGTGTAAAAATGTAAGGAGTAGAAGTAAAAAGTCACCATAAAAATAAGTAGTAAAGTAAAGTAAAAATATCAGAAAAATCTACTTGAGTACAGTAACGAAGTATTTGTACTTCGTTACTTCCCATCTCTGCTTGGGACCAATGAAATTTATGAATTTTAATGACTTTTATTTATGAGTCAAGTAATGCAGCCACATTCTTAAAATGAAAAAGCATTTCGGAAAACGCTATTTGATTTTCCAATTTTACAGTTCAAATTTGAATTTTTGTATGTATTTGCTGGGGTACATTTTGAAAAATAAATTTCAAATGTCTTTTTCTTTTTCAGTTTAATTAAGTAAAAGGATGAGCAGTGTTAAAGAAAAAATAAAAATGCAAACAGGATTATTGATTACTAATTTCATTAATGAGTCAAACACATCGAGAGGAGTCAGTTGAGGTGGCTCGGACATCTTCTTCGGATGCCCCCTGGACGCCTCCCTCGGGAGGTGTTCCAGGCACGTCCCACTGGGAGGAGGCCCAGGGGACGGCCCAGGACACGCTGGAGAGACTACGTCTCTCGGCTGGCCTGGGAGCGCCTAGGGCTTCCCCCAGCAGAGCTGGAGGAGGTGTCTGCGGAGAGGGAAGTCTGGGAGTCTCTGCTTAGTCTGCTGCTCCCGCGACCCGGTTCCGGATAAAGCGGGAGACGACGAGTACGAGTCAAACAATGCAGCCACATTTTTAAAATGAAAAAGCATTTCTGAAAATGCTTTTTCATTTGAAATATGGTAACGATTTGCTTCCATATCAGCCACCCTTCAGCATACATTGGTTATCGCCTGGCCACCCTTATAAAAAAGTTTCTGGCTACGCCTCTGTTTGTATTGTTTGCTTCAGTGCAGGTTCGATAAACTGTCCCAGAAAGCTGCAGAACCTGTTGGGCTGGAATGAAGCCATGTGGCTCCGCCCCTTTAGACTGTGGCGCGTATCAGCAGCAGCAGCAGCAGCAGCAGCGCCTGCCAGTAGGTCCCTCCCTCCCTCCGTCTCTGCGCATAAGTATACGCAGCCTGCTATCCCAGGCATGGATGTCGGTTGCAGCGAGTCATGGCGGTGCGACATTATACTCTCGATTTCAGCCTCTCTACACCAGGTACAATACTTTCAAACACCCTGAATGTAGCGTGTTTATTCAGCTCTCTGACCCGGCATCCAGGCTGCTAGCTAAGCTAGCTGAACAGCTAACATTAACCTGCTAGTTTCTAATTGCCCTTCAAAACTGCAGGGTTGTTACTGATTGGACGGAATAAAAGTCGAGCATATGCGGTAAATTGGGCTGGAAGCTTAAAGTTATTGAAGGAACGCATTTTTAATTCGGTATTCTTGTAATTGTGATGCAACTAAACGTTTTTGGAGCAATTTGTCGCAAATAGCTCGCTGCTTGTCTTGCTAACAATGTGAATAAAGCATGTTAAACTCAGTGCTGTCGCATAGGAAGTAGCTTATTTTCCGCCATTTTTGTAGTTTTTTATCTAGTCCTGACTGAGCATAATAAAACACATTTTATAGAATTTGAATTGGCACCAGTATCATAAAACTGAACAGTATTACAAATTAGGCTTTTATTTGCATTTTGTTGGGGGATTACTGTAGGATGACTTTAATGTTACTAACGTTCCAAATTTAGATAACTTTATTGGGATTTATTGAACAATCTTTAAAGTGAACTTTATTTTAGATAGTAGAGTTTTTAGCCATTGTTGCACATAAAATTTTCCAGATTAATTAAATATTATTTGAAAAAAAATTTTAGCCACAAATTAACACCACCAAATCTATTTTTTTGATGTCCAGAAATCTATCTGTTTATTAAATTTATTAGTTTGGTCATCACTGATGCAGATGTTGCCTTATTAATATGTTATTGTTGCATACTGTTGCATTGTTAATCATTTGTCCTTTGCTGTTTGTTTCCAGTTGACACGGCCTCGGTAGTTCCAGGTCTACTGTGCATATTTCATGAGCAGGAGCTGACAGAGACGATCCATGATACAAATGGACATGGGTATCTGGCTACATTTGTTGGCAAAAACGGGCGGTAAGCGAAAGAAAAACCATGAAAAGATCTAAATTCTTTAAGATTAAAAGCTTGATTTTTTTATATTTACCATATAATAGAGTATTGTAGTAGGGGTGTAAATCAACCCATCATGGTGATTCGATTCAGTATCGATTTCCTGACCCAACGATTTGATTATTTTCGATACTCAAGAATACACCACAATCCGATTCGATTAATTGGTTAATTTTTTTTTTTTTACCTAGGCTAGACAATGTTTCAAATTTAAAATAAATCGATGAAAGCTGTAATATAGTTATGCATTTTGTTTGAGAAACAACAGCAAATAACAGAAGTAGAAAAGTTGTACTCCACCTAGGCCTATTAAAACCTCATTCACTGAAAAATAATAATGCCCCTGCGTTATAGATTCTGAAAGGCTTTGCATCAAAAAAAAATACTGCACAAAATCAGTCCAATGGGTGCAATGCAATACCTCGGCTCCAGAGTGTCGACGTCCCCGCCCCCTCCGCAGACACTCCGCTGCACCTCTCCCAAACTGTAGCTGACTGCAGACAGGACGCTGACTTGTTTTGGTTAATGACCGAAATTGGGGAAAACAACTTGTGAAGTTTGACCAGCTAGAAGAGCAAGGTGCATGAGAACGCTGGGACCCTTTTTTTTTGGCCCTCATGTCGCTCCGTTGTCGGACAAACTCGCCCCCACTTCCTCACCGCCTTAGCCGTATCTATACCCACAGCACAGACCGCTTCAATATTGGGCATAGATCAAAAATGTCTGCTTCAAGCTCACTGCGACACACTGCTGCAGGAGTATAACCAGGAAGCGTGGTAGGAGGGCAAAAATAGGTTTAGCGCTACCGCAGCACGGGAGTGAGAATTGCGCCCAGGAGCAAATGGATAAAAATAGACCAGAGGGGGAGAAATCGATACTCTTGTGGACGTGTCGATGCATCGGATCGTCGGCTGTTGGATTGATGGATCGATACAAAACGATTATTATTTACACCCCTAATTTCTAGTAGGGATGGGTGCTATATGCATTGAAATGCATTGATGTTGGCCCATTGTATGTTTTTAAACCTATCGGTATCAGTCTCATAATTAGAATTAGGCTGACACTAATGGCCACTATTTATTTCCATGCTGTGGCCATTTGTGTGTAGGGATGGGGATCGAAACCCGGTTCTATCAAGGACCCGGTTCCAGTTTTTTCAAAACCCGAAAATCAATAACGTTTGGGCTTATCGATACCACTATCGAGTCTGGTCTTTTTTTTTTTTTTCCCGGAGGTCCTGTAACATAATTGTGTGTCCCTCGAGTCGCGTCACAGCATTTAAATCTAATCAATCCAATCACTGCAGCATGTCTACCAATGTTTTGGAATGAAATTGTAAGCAAACAGATATTAAAAGTAAAACAAGTGAAGTCTGGCAGTTAACTTTGCTCGCAACTCGAGAATGGCTGAACGGAAAAGACTCCTCCTCCTCCTGCTGCTGCCCCGCCGCACCACAGTCGGGCCCGTCTTCATCATCCACTCAGAGAACCACTGGTTAGCGCGCACACAGACTTTGTAGCTTGTCTGGTCACTTAAAAATGGTAATTGTGAAATCCGTGTTGTAATCGGCAGCATACAAGCTAGTTAGCTTAAAAAGTAAATAAAGTTTCAGACGTGCTGCGTGATGATGTGTTCAGGTTGGCTCAGTAAAACGACAATTAGGTTATCATGATGCGTTCAAGTGTAACGTAAAGAAAAGGGAAATTGAGTTTTTGGCGAGAAACATGAGTAATACAGTTGTATATTGCTGTAATTATTTTACAATATATAATTAAACTACTGATGCCAACATTTATTAAAAATTACATTTAATTTAAAATAAAATTATTTATTTGATAAATATTTTCCTAATCTCTAAAAACCTGATGAAAAGTGACAGACATGTTAATTTTTCTGCAAAAAAATACCTGTTAATTTATGGGCTGATATTTTATTTCCTTTTTTTCTGACACAGCATATTATTCATTTAATTTATATACATTATGACATTTTATTTTTCATTTGGTGCTGCTGATATATTCTAGTTAGTTTTATGTCATTTAGAAGTGGCCTATTACATTAGCCATGTTTACTGAAGGCTAGAAACTTTTTTGTTATGCTCACTTGTTAAGCAATAAAAGCAATACCAGTTCTGTTAAAAACATATTGTCGCATCGTCTTTCCACCAAATAACAGAAAAGTATCGATAGTGGTATCGATAAAGACTCGGATCGATAAGGAGTATCGATAAAGGTATCGATATCAATAAATATTAACGATCCCCATCCCTATTTGTGTGTGTTTCTGGAAGGACTTGGTCATGTGATGGTTCTGTAGAGCATGATTGTGGGATGTGTAACCAGAGCAGAGAGGTCATGTGAGCAGTGTGGTTCTTTGTTTCATGGTGTTTGAAATTGTGTAAATATAATATCTATTATTGATGATAACAGAAATGTTAATGTCTGATATTGGTAGTGGCACAAATTGTCATAATGATGCATCCTTAATTTGCCACTGGCAGTTAAGGATGCATTGATGTGACTATGGCAAATTACCGGCCATAGTTTGGAACCGATGAAGTGGAACGACTCGTGAATTAATGTTTGCCATGGATGTAGTAGAGGAAACCATAAGGTTTTCAGGTGGGATTTAAATTCTTTTTTTCTGACAGGGAGTATCTTGATTCAAATAATTTCTTGCTCTAAGCTGGTGCTGGTTCATACTTCTAAGAACTTTCTTGGCTCTTGCCCTTCAATGCTGGTGCTAATCTAGCATCAGTTCCCTGCTGGAATAGAAAAAAGGAAATGCTTTCTCCAAGGGCTAAAGGTGTACTCCTTAGAAACAATAGCCAATCCTAATATTGTAAGCGTCCTTGTTTATTTTAGTTTTGAATCAGTCCAGTTTCAAATCAAGAGACCGCATAAAGAGGACTAAATCAAAAAATACATTTCTGATGAGAATCGGTACAAGTTGACAGTGTTTTATCTTCATCCATAAGAATTTAATATACAGTAGCCAAATTAAGCCTGCTGAGGCCTTCAATGCTTATGCCGATATAGTTTTTATTACTTTGTGTTTCTATGCTCTTATTTGGTGTCGTCTAGTAGCCAAACAAAAGAAGTAGTATTGAGTCGTTTGACTGCTTTGTATGTTTTAGTTTGAATGAAAGAAACATTGCTATATTTCTGATTAATGATTTTGCATCCATTTAAAATTAAGGAGTTTCTTATGCATGAACTGAATATCTGAGTAGGATCCAAAGTTAGGACAATTTGCCTTTGCTTTGGAGGTTTTATGATATGAACTTTCAAATTATTGTTACCTGGGGAAAGAAACCCATTTGTTTGTTAGAAAGGAGATGGGGCAATTCATGGAGTATCATTGCTACAATAAATGTTTTTATAACTGTGGATCATTCAATCATTCTTTCGCAGGCTTGTCATTCTGCGTGTGCACTCCCATGGGTTGGTCACCATTGATCTGCAGTGTCACGAAGACGATAACATTGCACAATTAGACAATGTAAGTGATCAGATCAAAAAAAAAGAAGCAAATTTCTTTAATCTTTAAAGTGCAACATAATTTGAACAGAAATTTTCTCAATTCCCTCCACAGCTTTTAAATGCACTGGAAAAGAAGCTAAAAGCTCTGCTAAATGGCAGTATTACAAGGATTAAAAGGTAAGGATCCTGGTTCTTGCGATACTTCTATCCTGGGTGTTCAAAGGTTTTATCATTAAAGGAATCCACCACTTGTTGAGCATCTTTGTGTAAATATGTTTTAATATTCCTATTGATTTAAAAATTAAAGTTTGTGATGTGTAAAAACTCATAACTACCTCAAAAATGACACATTCTTCGGTTTCACCCAAAGATGATGCCAGTTTCTTCACCTTTGCGATGCATGCTGGGTTGGTGACGTGGTTAGGTCTTAAAGGACTGGAACACACAGAATAAACACAAGAAGGCTAACAGTACTATAGTTTATTTTTTGTGTTTAAAAAAAAATAAACAATTTTTTTTGTGAATTTAGACAATGCCACACAGTGTCGCATTTTCAACGTTTTTTTTTTTACCTGTTGATTTAAGAATGCATGTGATCGGCTTTTGATCTACTGTTTACTGCATTAACAGAAGCTAATTTTCAATCGAAATCAGTTAGGAAGATGAATGACTGTATAAAATTACAGTCAAGCAATTAAAATTATTATTTTTTTTTAAGTACATGTCATGATGTCAGCTGAAAATCATTAGGATTTGGGATCACATAACACATTTCTAAAGCAGCATAAACAACAAGAAGTCTACATCCGGATGACGATATTATTAGATTTATGAAAACTAAACAGCTTGCAGTATTTTTACTGTAATGTGTTTGGATAGAAAATAGATTTTTCTAGAATCATTCACACCTCATTGTGAATCCCTTTAAGTAACATGTATCTTTTAATTCCCCTCCAGGCTTCCAGCGTTGGTGCGAGGAGCAAAAGTTGACCGATACTGGCCCACTGCTGATGGCAGACTGGTGGAATATGACATCGATGAAGTGGTTTATGAAGAAGATTCTGCTTACCAAAACATTAAGATATTACACTCACGGCAGTATGGAAATATCCTAGTGCTCGATGGAGATGTCAGTAAGTGTAGAAAATAGTTAGTACTCCACAGACGAATCAGTGAGACGTTTGCTGTAGTTTTTTTGTATAAAGACTACAAACGAACACCATAAATTAGATCACATTTATTATTAAACACGTTTATAATTGGATAAATTTCCACCTTACTGATAGCCACAAACCTTGTAGCTTTACTTGTAGCTTAAGAACTGTTATCAGTTGTTAAAAAGATGTGATGTCGTTGCAGACCTTGCAGAAAGTGATTTAGCCTACACAAAAGCCATCACAGGGAATGGAAGAGAGAGCTATGCTGGAAAGGAGGTGCTGATATTAGGAGGGGGTGATGGAGGCATCCTTGCTGAGTTGGTCAAACAAAAGCCAAAGATGATCACCATGGTGGAGATATCCTTAAATGGCTTGTGTTTGTGTATTTATTTTTACACTTTCTTATGAAGTACACCAACATATTGACCTCACCTTCCTTGACGAAGTGTCTACATCGACCAGAAGGTGATTGATGGGTGCAAGATGCACATGAGAAGGACTTGTGGCAATACCTTGGACAACCTGAGGGGTGATTGTTACCAAGTGAGTGTTTAATGGATATTAATATCTCTTAAAATGATACATTCTGTCTGCTGACATTTGGGATGCACAATGGAGGCTGGTATAAGAAGTCAAAGCAGCGATTCACGTTCAAGCTTTATTTGAAAAACTCGCCAATATAACTTGCGAGCGTCTGAACTTTCACTGAATTATTTTTTTTAGCAATCTGAGCTCCTCTTAGACTGCCAGATAAGTTAGAGTTGATGGCAATGAAACACTTATGAATCTTGCCTTATAGGACATATTTTTAGTTCTCAGATGTAGAATTTTATCTAGAGGGCTGAATGTGACCATATCTTTACAAGTTAATCCATCACTTCCTAATCTGCACTACCAAAGGAGTCTGCTATCTGATTCTAAACTACAGAGAAAGAGAATCTTTAATTTTGTTACAGTGCAGCGTTTTCAGTTGTTTACCAGGGTGCCAAACCTGGAAGTTATACATCTAGTGCCTCTAGTGGATACAATTTGTTTCGTTTTAAGACTGAGTATTAGGGCCAGGCTGAAGAAAGTTGTAAATATGTGAGAAGAAAGTTGTAAAGATCTGAGAAGAAAGTTGTAAAGATGCGAGAAGAAAGTTGTAACGATACGAGACATTTAACAAAAGAGAGAAATATGCGATGATACGAGAATAAAGCTGTAATTAGGGGTGTAAATCGCACCCATCATGGTGATTCGATTCAGTATTCATTTCCTGACCCAACGATTTGATTATTTTCGATACTCAAGAATACTCCACGATTCGATTCAATTAATTGGTTTTTATTTTATTATTATTTTTTTAACACCTTACAGGCTAGACAATGTTTCAAATTTGAAATATATCAATGAAAGCTGTAATATCGTTATGCATTTTTTTTTTTTTTTTTTTTTTTTTTTTTTTTTTTTTTAGAAACAACTGCAAATAAGAGAAGTAGAAAAGTTGTACTCCACCTAGGCCTATTAAAACCTCATTCACTGAAAAATAATAAGCCTGCGTTATAGATTCTGAAAGGCTTTGCATCAAAAAAATACTGCACAAAATCGCCCCCTCCACAGACGCTCCGCTACACCTCTCCCAAATTGTAGCTGACAGCAGACAGTGCTGCAGACAGGAGGCCAGCTTGCTTTGTTTTTATGACCGAAATTGTGGAAAACAACTCGTGAAGTTTGACCCGCTAGAAGAACGAGCTGTGCGAGAACGCTGGGACCCTTTTTCCACCTGGATCTCCGCTCTTTTTGGCCCTCATGTCCCTCCATCGTCTGACTAAACTCGCCCTCACCGCCTCGGCCGTATCTAGACCCACAGTGTGTAGCACAAATTACACTTCAATATTGAGCATAAATCAAAAATTTCTGTCAAGCTTACTGCAACAAACTGCCTTAAAAGTATAACCAGGAAGCGAGGTAGGAGGGCAAAATAGGTTTAGCGCCACCGCAGCACGGGAGGGAGAATTACGTCCTGGAGCAAATGGATAAACAATAAAATAGACCGGAGGAGAGAAATATGCAACAATACCAGAATAAAGTTGTATCGATACCAAAATAAAGTCATCATACCACAGCCAATTTTAGAAAGAAAGCTTTGAGATTGGACCAGCATATGACGGCAGACCAGCACCACCAAACGGCAACCTGAGTCCACTTTGACATACTGCCCAATTTGATGCTGGTGGGCTAAAAGTGTTATTTGTCAAACCAATGCCAAGGTATAACTTCACATTATGCTCGACATTCTTCATTTAAGGGAAGGAAGTGCTTCTAAGAGTTGTCATGAAATACAACTTTTTTGTCTCTTAATATTACGACTTTATTCCCGTAATTTTATAACTTTATTTTCATTGCGACTTTATTCTCGTAATTTTATTGATTGATAGATCTCCTCTCTATCAAAAAGGTTGCTAATAGAATGTTAAGCATCAATCTGAAGGTGATCAGGAGAACAGTAGAGCTGAGGCTGGATATATTATTTTTTTTTCTTAGTTGTGACAAAGTTGTAATAGTTGTGGGAAAGACCACATAGAAATATTTGTCGAGCCTATGTCAGTGCTGTGTGTAACTTTTGATGTAAAAACAGAGAAAATGTTCTTTAAATTTGCCAATTGCTGAGAAATATCAGTCATTTTATTTAGAACAATTTGCAACAAAACAAAAATACTCTAAATGTAATTGTTAAACATCGTCATTAGGGATGCACGATATAATCGGCCCCCTATTGGTATCGGCCTTAAAACTGAATATCGGACATCGGCCACCACACCGATATTTAACCCGATATTTGATCCGCTTCTGAATTTCTAAAGTCTAAAAACTAAATAAGAAAAAATAGTACTTCCTCAAAAACTTCTTTTTTACAGACTTAAAAACTTCTAAAGACGAGGGTAAAAATATTGATACATTAAAATATCACAATATCTTCATATACTGATATATTGCCATTTAAAAAAACCATATCAATCTCTTTTAATAATGAAATATTGCTATATGTCATCGTTATGCTACGAAAGCCCCCGAAAATTCACGAAATTTTGCCATATTTTTATATGTTGATATATTGACGCGATATCGATCTATTTTACTAACAAAATCTCACAAGAATTTGCAAAATATCACGACAGTTTGTAACAGAACTATGAAATTTCACGAGATTTTGAAAGTAAAATAGATCGATACCGCGTTTTTAAAAATCTATTTGATATCAGCATATGAAAATATATTTGAGTATATTATTTTTCAAAGTGTCAGAAATGGATAACAAAACTGCTATTTTCAATGACTACTTGTTTTTGTTCAGTTTTAACATCGGTATCGATATCGGTTATCGCCTACATGAGTTTTAAAATATCGGCATATCGGATATCGACCAAAATCCCAATATCGTGCATCCCTAATTGTCATCATGTCTTTTGAATTGCAGATTCTAATTGAGGACTGTGTCCCTTTGCTGAAGAAGTATGTCCAGGAAGGAAGAACATTTGATTATGTAATAAATGACCTCACTGCAATCCCTATATCCACTGCACCCGAAGAAGGTTTCTGCCTGTCTGTTAATGCTCTAAACAAGTTTCTGTGTTACATTGTGTGCAATATAAAGAAGTTATTGTTTATCACTAGTCTGTCTGAAAAGGGTTTCTTTATACAGACTCTACTTGGGAGTTTCTGCGTCTCATCTTGGACCTGTCGATGCGCGTCCTGCACCCCAAGGGGAAATACTTCACACAGGTGTGTTTCAGGTTTTTGCAGTACCTGTAGTATTAGGAGTAAACGTACTAATAATAAAGGAATGTGGTTATCTTCTCATCAGTTTGAAACATTTATAAAAAAATATTTTGTGGTAATTGTACTCTAAATACCATTTTTATAAATTGGATTTGGGAAAACAAGAGAACAGATATTTCTTTCAGATAGAGAGCCTGCTCTGTCTTATTACTTGGAAATTCTTCCTCATATTTTCTAAGATCACGCACACATTTAATAGGCGTTCCCTCTTGGGAGCGTGTACAGAGTTGTGCATTTGCATTTTTATTAATTTATTTTTTTTCCAAGTGGAGGGGGTGTTCTTTTAAAAAAAAATTGCGAAAACCCTCCACTATACCTTTAATCATTGACCATCATTATTGAAATGATGGTCAAATAATTTATGGAGAACTGAGTGTTGGAAATTTCTTTTTTTTTTTTTTTTTTTTTATATAGCACTTTTTAGAAATTGTTTATTTAGTTTTTAAATGAGAAATAATCAACAGCTAATTGTTAGTTGTAGCCCTAATCAATAAAAAAAAACCCGATTTAGAGTTTGAAGAACGGTTGTAACTTTTTATGATATAGGCTTGTTTATCTTCTATGTTCAACACATCCCTCTCTAAAAAAAACTTTGATTTCCCAAAAATGTGCACTAGCTTGATATTTTTTATGTGAAACTGACTTTGTCTTGTCTCTCTTTTTTTTTTTTTTCTTCTTCTTATTTCTTTTTTTTTTTTTTTTGTTGAACAATATTAGAAAAGAAGCTATGTCTACTTTGAAGGATCCCGTAATCTGTTTCCTTTTCCCCCTTTAATTCTTCCAGGGTAACAGTGTGAATCTGAAAGAGGCACTGAGTCTATATGAAGAGCAGCTGGGGAAGCTTTCATGTCCGATAGACTTCCGAAAAGAGGTGGTGTGTGTGCCCTCCTATTTGGAGCAGTATCCTTCTCTTGTTTTTAAAGCCGTGACGTACAGATCGACACATTTACGGATGGTAAGGTTAAAAACATGTCTTCGTTCCTTAACTGTTTTCTCAGATGGGTTTTTTACACCGCATGGAAGAAGTGACAACCTCCTTTTTATTCCTGCTATAATTCCCAGCAGCTGGAATGTGAATGTGTGAATGCTTCTTTGTTTTTTCCCGTAGCCTTGAAGGTGTGGTCAGACTGAACGTCATGGTAAAAGAAAAGGACACAAAAAGTTAAAATGTTAATTGTTACTGAGCCTTGCTACTTTTACAATCAACTTGCATATAAAAAGTATATAATTTTTTTAACTGGCACATGCTGTGAGACTGTTACCTGAGTGATGAGCTGTGAGCAGATCTGACTTCCATGTTCTTCCTAAGGGTTAAAATGCTGAATATTCAGATTTATAGAATGTAATATATTCTTTCAAATGAAAGGTGTAATGCAGTGTAAACTTTAATTTACTGTTTTCTAAACCTGAAGGAATGTTTGATTTTAAAGCCTCAACTTAGTGCATCCTCGGTTCCTCACGTTGGACCATCGTGGTGATGTAACTCCCAAGAGGAATCTATAGATCCCAGTGTTCAGTGCAGCAAATATCTGCATCTACTTCTGTTTGTTTTGGTAAAACACTCCAACCTATTTTGAGCCGCTTAATGTGGGGTTAAAAAAGAAAAAGGTTCATTTAAGTTCAGTCTGATCTCACCTCAAGGTACACATGAATATTTTTATCTTCATTTAATCCTCTAGATTTTAATTGTTTATCAATGTTCGCTGAAACATTTTGGGTTGGACTTTTTCTATGTTCTTAGATTTACTTTTTTTTGCATGGATTCTGAAGAAACCTTTCCATTTAAACACTGTCCTGATACACTGACGTGGTAATTTAACCCACCATACACGTGTGATCTATTATCTTAGACCTTGAGTTGTGAACCTGTTGTGAGTTGCTATTAAGCTTTATTTTGCTTGTTTTTGCCACTGAAATGTGATGCAATTCTGCCTGTATCAAGGCAGTGCGTTTCATCCCCTTTAAGTCTTAATTGTTGTATTCTGGGTGTGTTTTATTTTTTTTTTAAAGGGAACGATTCCTCATTGCTGCCATCTTTGTGCTTGTGCTGTTTTTTATGTTATGTTTTATTAGCACCTTTGAGGTCTCCTGATACAATAATTATACTAGGTGCATGCTGAGGACGATGAATGTAGCATATATATATTATATAAGTACAGCACATTAGATGGACCCTGTGGGTGTTTTTATTTATTCATTATAGACTCACCAAATGCTGTTATGTTCATTTGTTTGACCATCTACGATTAAAGAGTTTTTGGGGAAAAGGTTTCTTTATTAGAGCATTTTCAGGTTTACAGAAAAACAACACCAAAAGGTTAATGTTTGATCGGTAGAAATACTAAGATTTTGGTGCACCTGATGAATGTTCCTTTTAATTAAATAGAGAAACGCCTTTAAAAGACAAAAAAATATATATTCTGTATTTTCCGGACTAAAGAGTGCACCTCACTATAAGCCATGCTCATAAAATTTTTCTTGAAAAACTGGAAACATACATTCATAAGCCGCACCGGGCTATAAGCCGCTGATATCTACTAAAACTGTCACCCACCAAACCACTAGGGGGAGTCATGCCTATTGATAGCATGTTCCTGTGCTAAATGAAAATTAGTCCCTTATTCATTCATTTTCAACTTTGACTTCCCCCTCTGGTGGTTAGGAAAAGCCGCACGTTCTTATAAGTTGCATAGTTCAGAATGTGGGAAAAACGCAGCTTATAGTCTGGAAAATGTTTTCTTTTTTTGGTACGTTTATGTTTGCATACATTTGTTTTGTAAGGTCAGCCTGAGGAGAGATTAGGGGGCGTCGATCTTTAGACACACTGGATTTTTTTTTTTCACTTCGGCTAAAAATTGTATTTATTTATTTATATACTAATGAATATTTATGTTTTAGCATTTCCTCCCATAACTAATTGCATTGAATTTCCCCCCAAAAAAACATTTAGTATAACATTTATATTTTTCTGAGGTAAAAAGTGTTTTAATTATTTAGCCAAATCTTCCAAAAATATTAGCTACTCATTTGTTCTGATTTTTTTTTTCCCTCCATTTTTAAAACCTAAAATTTTAAATGGCACAGTGGTTGTTTAAAATCTACATATTTCCTTAAGCGGATATTTAATAAATATATATTATTTTTTATTTATAAATTCACATATTAAAACAAAGGCATATTTGCTTTTTAAGAGTGGAAAAAATTGACATTTTCAAAAAACCTTTACCTGTGGTGGGTACCTGCAAACTTTGTCACAGTTTGCAGCTTGGAGAAGCTTCTGTTTGACTGAAGAAAAAAATGGTTCTTTGTACTGTAAAGTTTGCAGATCCCTTCTCTAGATAGTTTAAAATAGGTCTTACAAAATGTTCTGCAACATTAAACATATTCTGCCAGATGCTTAGGGAAGCAAATTCTGCTTTTTAAAAATTATTTCATTAGTAAAGAGTGAAGTCTTACTTCATCCTTTTGCATAAAAGCTTTCCAAGTCAAATTAGACAAACGTGAAAGACCTGCTTTTATGTATCAGTTTTTTTTTTGTTAAATATTGTAACCTTTGTCATGTTCACTTCAACCGTTTAATATAGTACAATTCTGCAGACTTGGTGCCTTTCTTGTAGCTGAAAAAGTTTCTGCATTTAGAAACTGGCTATTTTATTCTATCAAGGCACATCTCAACCTTAATGCTTGCTATTATGTTTGAAACTTAGAAAAATCATAAACACCTGAGTTACAGCAAAGTAGAAGGATGTGCAGCTCAAATGTGAACTTTATTTTGTCATTTCAGCTGTTTGGATAAAGTGCATTAGATCATTAAATTGTTAAAAAATGTAACTGAATTTGTCTAAAAGTAAATAAATAACTTTTTATATATATATATATAAAAGGCGTCATAAAAACAAATATCAACTTAAGACTTAGAACTTCTCAGAAATCAATTATAAATGATACAGGTGCCATGGAGAATGACGTACATAAATAATATTCTCTTGTATTTTACATTATATACACAAATAAGAAGACAGGCTTCTCTTTCTAGGTCAGGACCCTCGTCGGTTCCTGAGTTGACTGTTTATCTCGTTGAGAACCACATCCGTCCTCGGTTCTTCATCAGCTGTGATTATTCTGTCTTCTAGCGGATTTCCTGCAATGTACCAAAACAACAATATATTGAATATAAATATAATTAATATAAAAAAACCATAGCTTTTGAACCAAGCCTGCGCCATGCACAATTTGATAGGACAGAGGACGGAAACAGATGGAGGTAAATATTCTCTGTGGTACACGGCCACCCGCAACTGCTAGCAGATTCCTTACTTTATATAATATATTACGTTGTGTTCAAATTAACAATCTGATTTAAATTTTTATCAGCCCAGAAAAAACATTTAGGTGTAAATGTATTTTTTCTTGCTTCAGGTGGTGCTTCATGAAATCATCAAAATATTTAATTCGTAAAACAGCACCTCATGTGTACTGCGATGTGAGATATAGTGTTGGATCTATGAGGCTGTGGGCTCTTTTTGCCCTCCCAAGACCCTAGGGACCCTGGTAGAGTTAATGGCATCATAGATAGTATAAAATATATCTTAATCAAAATCCTGAACCCGGTCGCCAACATGAAAATGGATCAAAGGCCAGACAGAAGATTAACAAATAGTTACTGGTAGTGGTTCTAATAATTGAGGAAAAAGTGTTACCATGGTACTAATTATCCTGAATGTTACCTTTTTTTCCAACTGAATATTGAAATTAAAGCAATCAACACATACCAGGCCCAGTTTCCTGTTTCAACCATCCACATCCAGACCCAGGTACCTGCTACAGCCATCCAACCTACCTGCTAAAGCGAAGTAGTCCTACATCACCTAACTCTATCCCTTCTTTCTGCTCCTGTCACAATCTAACTTTCTCCTTCCATCATCATCACAATAAGCATCAGGTGAATCTGTCTAATCTCTACTTCCCTGGTCCTCAGAGTTCATACCAAAGCAACACAATCTGAAAATGGCGCTGCTTAGTACTTGTTCCCGTACAAATAAAAGTGTCCCTCATGCCAAGGAACGATCCATGCAATTTTGGTGATGATACACATAATCTTTTTTAAAGAATCTATAACACCAGAGGGAGGCATCAGTGAGTATTGACAGCCTCAGCATTGGACTCAAAAAGTCTAGAGGTATTTAACTGAAGACAAAACCACAATAAAAGGGAATGTTGTTGGTTATTAGGATCAATTGAAAACATTAATGGATTTAAAGTATTTTCTAAATCAGAGCTGTGCCTCCTGTCAAGTCACAACTCATTAAAATTTAGTAATGATCCAGATGTTGCGATAGTTTTAACTATAGGTGTATGAGTCACAATATGAGGCTAAATGTTCTGCTTGGTGTAGATCTGTGCTCTCTCAATGAATGCAGAACAGGGCTACAGGCAGGGACCACTGATCTCTATTTATTCACTGGATTGCTGATAGCTCAGAATAAGTGAAGCCACCGGCCGCCATTTTGGACTGCGGAGGATCGATAAACGTCAGTATCAGACGATGTTTGGCTGTTGGCGGTTCAATGCGACGTATAAGGTTCCCTTTTTCCAACCCGAGCACCTGCCTCCAAAAAATCCTTGTGCACGCCACTGGTTACAGGTTAAAGGTCAGCCATAATTTTTTGTAACAAGGCGTGACGGTGTTATCATCATCACTTACCGATGCCATTCATCTGCAATGAAGGCGTGCGGGGCAGAAAAGAGGTACTGGATGGTCGGCTGCTTTGTGAGGACGTAAAGGAAGTCAGTGGAGACTTCTTGGTATTTTTCTGTGTTGCAGTGCGACTCCACTCTGAACAAAGTATGGAAAAAAATGTTTGAAATGAATTGAGGGAGGAAAAAAAATGAAAACAGAAGGAAGGCATTAGATACAAACTTACCTGAATTTTCCGAGAGCCTCATTTTGCCGCAGCACAAGTAGGTCCTCCACTGCCTCCGGACGGTTTCCTTCACCAAGCAGTGGAACACAAATATAAAGAAACCTACAAAAAAACAAAAAAAAAAACTTTAGGGGACAGCACAGTTGATTAAGTAAATGGGCAAACTGGAAATTTCAACAACTCACCTTGTAGGGAGTTGAAGATGGCAAAAAGGTACATAAAGGCCAGATTAACAGGCCCCCAGGCAAAAAAGGCAAATCCCCAAGTGAGGCCTAGGAGTATGGTGATCCCCAACACACTGCGTACATCTTGTAATGTGCTGCGATGCTTGCTATTATGAGGGTTCTGCTTTTTTATCCGGTGCAGCTGGACTAAGACCACAATGAACATGATGAAATTGAAGAGGAAAATCACGCAAAAGTAGGCCACAACCGCCACGTAGAAGGCAATGTCGTTTCTTATCCAGCAGCTGCAAGACAACAAGGAGGAAGAGAAAATATTTTTATATTAGATTATTTAACAAGTTCAATCACTGGAAATAGGTCTTCATGAGCTTCTAATATTACTTAAATCTAAAGAGTACAGATACATAACATATTAAGCCAAATTTATCAAATATGACTGACACTTTAAGAGCTAGTGTTTTGTCAGTTTGCTTGTCTGAAGCATACACGTTTTGAACTCAATGCCAAGAAGGAATGACAACAGCAACAACAATATGAAATAAAGAATGACATTAGTAGTTATCAGTCTATTATTCCTGTAAGAATTATAAGTAATGTGTAAGACATCAGTCGATATCTTGCAAATTCAAACAAAAATCAGGATCTTTATTATCACTCTGCAAAAGAATTTACTTTAAATAAGTCATTTTCTCTTAAAATAAAAAAAGACTAACATAATATCCAGGAAAACCATGAATACTTTGCCAAATCATTATAGGCGATCATGAATTTTACTTTATTTCAAAGTTAATGTGAAAAGCTGAATCAGAAAACAACCCTGATGTAACGTTCTCTGTAGTCCAGACTTTAGCCAAACTGACTCTCAAGCTTAGAGAATTAAGGAAACATAGTTAAGTAGAGTGGCCAAAAATTCTTCACTAATTAATTTTGCTTTGGGTTTCACAAAAAATAAATCTCTTGATGTTGCTGTTTCTTTCCTAGTGTTTCTTATTGTGAGTTAATTCAAGCTTACTGAACTTACAAGTCATCACTCGTGCCGTCGGAAAACTTTCCATAAGACACGAGGCCGTAGTTGTTTTTGTCAATAGCGATCACAATAATGACCACTATCATAGGGACTCCCCAGCCCACCAGTGAGAACTTCAGCATATAGTGGGA